TAATTTATTTTCTAGTGTGGTTTCACTAGTTACAGTTATTTCTGTTATCTTGACTGTGCTGCCTTAGATCTGTGGTGGAAAGCTTTGCCTTATTTTCCCTTTCAGCTGTGTGGCAGAAACAAGAGATCCAATGTTGTCAGCTGTTGTTTGATTACACTTTCTTGGATTTCTTTATTTGTTTCTTTTTTGTTTCCTCTGTGGGGCTTTACATTAAAAACAACTTGTATTTGATTTCATTATTACTTGTGAGCATTAGGCATGGCTTATAGATGCATTATCTTAACGTAGCCCTTTCTATTCAGCAACCTTATATGTATTCTTACCATACAGGAAACTGTTATGCAAAATGTGGCATGAACAAACCTGTCAGCCTTATATTCGTGGTTGGCAAATATGGGGGGGGAAGATAGAACAGTACTATGAAGGTCATGAGATGTTAGTCTAATTAGCATGGTTTTGGCAGAGGAAAATTGTGTCATGCTGATCTGAGAACTCTTTGAACTTGTCATTGTTGTGGACAAAGGAGGAAAAAAAAAAGAATAAATTAGAGCTTTCAAAATGCCTTTGACAAGTTCTTATCCAAGATGCTGTTGAACAAGCTGAGGGAGTCGTGGGATGAAAGTGAAGGGTTTGTTTGTGTAAAAGGCACAAGCAAAAAAGAAAAAAAAAAAAGAAAAAGGTTTTAATCTTGGCAAAGGTAAGCTCAAGAGTCTAGAAGCTGCACTTGACATATTCTCTAATGATGAGGATAGCAGCTGGCTAGTCAGGTACTGACACTTTTATAGGTGACACAAGTAAGGTCCAAACCTTTAATGAAAACCAAAACAGCCCAACTGATTGGACAGAACCGGGATGGTTTGGATTTTAATGAGAATAAGTATAAAGCAATGTGTATAGAAGAAAGAATGTAATCTGCCTGTGTCTTACAGAGCTTTATGTGGATTCAGAAAGGGTGCTGGGCATTTGTGTGTCAGGTTGAAGGCAAGTTTCTGTGCAGTTGGGTTTTAAAGATAAGGTACTGTGGCATTATAGAAACTGTTGCTGCTGGTCTCTTCCAAGTGCAAAATTTATTAAGTTTCAAGAAGTGATTCCGTGTGTATATGACTGCCAGGATTATTGATTGTGTAAGGACCTCTTGGAAGAGAAACTAAATGCTCTGGCCTGAAACATAAGCTATCAGAGGGCAAGATGGGATCTAATATAGAGGTCAGACTTGAATTTTGGACATTCTTGCATGGTCATCAAAGCCAGAGAAAATAGTTTTTGTACTGGAAATTTTAATGTGAAAATCACGGAGTAGACTGTAGCTTAAGCAGGTCAGATAAAACCGCCCAATCCTGGTTTCCTACCCCAGGCAAGAGTAGTATTTTTCAAGATTGAAATTTACTTTTACAATTTGATAAGCCTTCCAAATGTGTGTGTTACTTTTTTCCTAGTACTTTTAAACTAGAACTTTATGCAGCTTTGCAGGTAAGAAAATATGAAGGTATTCGTGACTACTGCCTTTATGGATTGATGTGTGGTGATATTTTGATAATTGAGAAGTAATAAATAGGTTTACAAATCCTGCCTATCAACTGAGGAGCGATGGGACATAACGTCAGAATAGTGCAACCTCTTGTGTCTGTTTACAATAAGCATAACTGCTTAAAGATCAAGTAGGGTAACAGAAAGAACATATGGGTATGCTTTATTCTAAGTTTTCAGTGAATCCTGTGTTGTTTTTGCCAAAGGAATTGCTTCCAGATTACAGGACTAAAAATGACCAAGTTACTTGGTTCCTATGAAGAGGAGCAGATACTGCCCCTAGTTTCAGTGAGCTCTGACAGGGCTGAAGGTACTTTGAGGGGAAGATCTGGAGATGGGATTTATTCCTTCTGTAATCCCCTTTGGAAAGTAGACATATTTGGTTAGTAGGCTTGTATTTAGGCTGTTAAGCAGTTGTATCAGGTGTGTTTGGGTTTTTGTTGTTTGTTTTGTTTGTTACTTTGGCTTTATCAATATTAAAAAAATCTGGTCTTTACAAAGTGTGTTTGTTCACCAGTTGCTGCTGGCGGTTCTGAGAAAAGTTTGTGATGTGAATCTTAAGTCAGGTCTGCTAGGTAAATTGTGGGGATTTTTAATAAAGATGACAATGTATCTGCTGTGACAGAATCATGCAGTTCTTGTTAGTCCTCTAAAGTATTTGACAGAAGCCTGAAAGCTAGAAATTGTGCTCTGAAACACCAACAGGGATCAGAATTGGAAATTATTTTGCTATTATGATGTTACTTATACAAATCTTGTTCTGCGTTCTTGCAGTAGGTGTCTTAAGTATATTCCTGTCTGCTTCTCACAAGCTCTGTATATATACATGCTGAAACTTTAATGTATCTTTTAGAGATTCCCCATGTTTCCTGTCCTTTTCAAAAATAAAGCGCCATTGTGGGTCAGCAATGTCAGTCTTTAAACTTATTTATTAGGGCAGTAGTTGAATGGATAAATGTAGAGGTCAGGTTCTTTTGTCTTTTTCACTGATTTTGTTTGGTATAATACAGAAGGTTCCCTGGAGTGGTGTGGCTAGACCACTTTCTACAACAGAAGGACATTCCTTTTGTATTTTTTATATACAGAAATGTACTTCTGCTTGTCCAGGGATCTCTATCTTGTGTTACCTTAGACAAAGCCTTTGTTTCTTGAGTGACTGTCTTTACTAATTCGCTAAGGCAGTGTACCATGTTAACCTCTGTGTACTGTTCCAAGTGTCTAGCTCTCTCTGCAGGACACTGCATGGTGTGATGTAGAGATTACTGCTTTCAAAACGACCAACAAAAATTGTCATTCCCAATGCAGTTTGCAAATGCGTATGTTTCTGTTATTGAAACTGATGCGTTTTTCTGCCAGTGAGCAGAACAGTAAAAATAATGTGGTGAAAGCTGTCCTTTCTCTGCTTGCATGTCTCTAAATGAAATTAACTTCCCTGCTGAAACCAAGATATTGATTGATTGCATGTGAACCTGATTAACCAGATATCAACCTGATTAACCAGATATTAACCAGATAGAAAGCTGTCCTTTCTCTGCTTGCATGTCTCTAAATGAAATTCACTTCCCTGCTGAAACCAAGATATTGATTGATTGCATGTGAACCTGATTAACCAGATATCAACACAGTATATCATGTGTGGAGGTCTCTGAACGGGACAGAGTTCTTCCTTCGTATTCCTGAAGCGTGACCAAAGAACACTGAACTCTCTAGCATTCCAAAATGAACAATATCTGGCTTGATTTGCTTAACTGTGAATGCAAAGTAATGCAAAATATGTAAAGATGATAATGTTAACTGTTGCAAAAAGGAAAGCAAGAAACGTGTGAAAGTTCTATTACATTCTAGTGGGGAAAACATAATTTAATGCTCTGTTACTTCTCATTGAGATTTATGCTAGCTTTCAGCACTTAAAGAATATTTATTTCACTATTTAAAAAACCCCAAAGTGTCAGGGAGCAGCAGCAAGGGCAGGCTGAAGGGAAGGCAAACTGGGAGTCAATGGTAACAAGGTGGGTAGAAACAGTACCTACCCTATAAGGACGCAGTCCTCCAGTACCTGCATGAGGCAAACAGGGCATATCTGGTGACACTAACCAGGTTCAGCCAACAGTCTGGGTCTCCAGGCACATCTGTAGTGATGATCTGAGGTGAAGCAAGGAAGTCAAGTCAACGGGTCACAGGCTGGATCAGTGAGGTGTGTGGCCGGGCACAGGCACGGCTGCAGCACGGCTCAGGTGAGAACCAGGGATGAGTGCCTTAGTTTGAATGCACCTCTTAAGTGAAGATGAGAAGGCCCCAGACAAGGCTTCTTACACCGCTTACTTACACAACTGGTCTTTACTGGTAAGATTTACCTTTAGGAATCCCAGATGCCTGAAAACAGGGGCAAAGTCTGGAGTAAAGGCGGCACAACCTCATTAGAGGAGGATCAGGTTAGCAAACATTTAGACAAATCAGACACACACAAGTCTGTGGGACCCAAGGAATATACCCGCAAATGCTGAGGTAGCTGGCCAAAGTCATTGTAGGACCGATCTTGATTGTTTCAGAAAGGTCGTGATGGTTGGAGGAGGCTTCTGAAGATAAGAGTGACATTTGTTTTCTTCCAATCCTCACAATGGCAAAAAGGACTATCCAGGGAATTACAGGTTGGTCAGCGTCATCTTCATCCTGTAAAGCATTGCTAAACGTACTAAGGACAAGATGGTGATTGGAAGCAGCTGGCATGGATTTACAAAGGGAAAATCATGCCTGACCAATCTGATAGCTTTCTACTCCAAATGGACTGGGTTGTTGGATAAGGGGAGAGCAGCGAATATTGTTTATCTTGACTTCAGCAGGCTTTTGTCACTGTCTTCCATTATATCTGATGAAGTATGGACTAGGTAGGTAGACAGTGTGGTGGACTGAAAACTAGCTGAACTGCCAGGCTTAAAGGATTGTGATCAGGGGCATGAAATCCAGCTGGAGGCCAGTTACTAGAGATGTATCCCAGGGATTGATACTGGGCCATCCTTGGAGATAACCAAAATGTGACTGGACACAGTCCTGGGCAGCTGGCTCTAGATGACTCTACTTTGAGCAAAGGGGTTGGAGTTGTTAATGTCCACATAGACTACTGGATGACTTTTTTATGGTGCAGGTAAAGGATTAATCTCAAATTCTGAGCCTCGACATACCTACAGAACAGATGTGGGCATTTGTGCTTGAAACATTATCACTCTGATGCTGTTCCTTAGCTACCCCAACTATTTAAAATCACAGTAGCGTGGCGTAGGCTAAATATCCTTGCTTTCTTAGCTCATGCGATGTCCTAGTTTCATTTGTTCTTTTATCAGGAAAGTTGGCCAATGGATACAGCCATAGAGAAAGGATAGATAGAAACTGCCGGATAAACGTTTTCATTCTAATTAGTGATGTATAAGAATTCTAGACCACGCCATGCAAATCATTGTTATGAACTTCTTATTTAGGTTGAATTTAGTTGAAGCTTTTGTGGTGGATCCAGAACTACGTCAGTGCCTTCAAGAAGATCTCTTACGTCGCTTCCCAGATCTTAACCGGCTGGCAAAGAAATTTCAGAGACAAGCAGCAAACTTACAGGACTGTTACCGAATGTATCAGGCTATTAATCAACTGCCTAATGTTGTACAAGCACTAGAAAAACATGAAGGTAATACTACCCTTGTCCTTTTTCAATGTGTTATACTACTGCAAAGAAGTAGTGTGTAGTTTTCCAAAGGTTACCTTTTTTCCCTGTGTATTTTTGTTGCCGGAATAAAGCTTAAAGACATTTGAATTTGAAATGAGCTGAAATTCTGAAATATCAATCAGATACTTAAAAATAAAAATAGCCAAATCTTTATAAGACAAAGCATTCCAATTAGCACGTAGCTGAAATACTTGAACTGTTGGGTGATGGTCTGGTAATCTTTGATGTTGTCTTGTCTCTAAGAGTTCCTGACCAATTGTGTCTGTATTATGATCTTAAAAACAAGATAACCATTCATACAATATTGTTGTGTTCCTTTTGAAGACACTTTGCACTTTGTTTTTTTTTGCATTTAATCACAACCCAGTTTAAGCATTATTTGTATAATTTGAATGGTGCTCTTTTTTAAAAAAAATCTAATATTCCTGTATTTGATAAGAGTAATGTGGCAGGGTTTCTTCTGATCTTCATTAGTAGGAAACTCAATACTATGACAGGCAAATCTAGAAAATACAAAGGTTGCTATTTCTTTTCTTTTTCTATGTGTTACCAAGAAAATGCAGAATAAGATTAGTGTCAGCATAACAGGGGCGTGATTCAATACAGCAATAGCAGTCCTAGCCTGTCAGAAGGCATATTTTTGTAGAAGCCCATTAATTTGTTTGAAAATCTCTTTGCATAAAGCAAGCACCAAAGCGTTAAAGACAAATAATTTTTGAAACAGTACAGTTAGAAAAATTTCTTTCCTCTATTTGAGTAGACAGTAATATTATACAGTATCTTGTACTTTTCTGTACTATAGTTTTATGACTTCAAGTAATGAAACTTATCTTCTGAAATATTAATCTTAAATGAATTTTTGGTTTCTGGCTGTGTTATTTCCAAAAGCAGTTAAGATCTAAAACTGGGAAGGAACTGGCAGATAGGCAGATACAACTTTGCTTGTTTTTGCCTTGGCATGGAGCTCTTGCATTTCCATCTTAACCTGAGATATTAGTTCAAAAAGCTTGCTCTCTGCCTTTACTTCTCTTTCTATTAGTTGTCTTTTGGATGAACAGAGTTTTTCTGTCATAACATTGGGGTAGGAAAACAATTCCGTTTTGAGGAGCAAGCTGTGTAAGGCAAACTGCTAAGCTCACCATATGGAAAAATTAATAGACTGCAAAAAGTTCTTGCTGTTTTACATGTGAATCAGTTGGCCTTAGTAGGGCATTTATCAGCAGTAAATCTAAGATAATTTAAAATAGGTGCAATGTGTTATTTTTATTTTTCTTTGTACCTCTGCCTCCTTGTTTGAAGTACAAGAATGATGTGGTAATTCTGAATGTACGTGACCGATTCAGACTATATCTGATCACTTTCCTGTTTAAGACTGTACAAAATCTTTTAACTCATCAGGAGATTAGATGCTTGTTTATGGATGATGAAAACTGAGGAGCGGCGAATTTTTTATTTTTTAGACATAAGAAACCTGCATAAGACAGGAAAGGACTCTGAGTCATCAATTCATTTTGCTATTGCTGGTAAAAGGGAGCAGTTGTTCATTACTCAAATTGCTGGGGCATAAAATCTAGATACTTACAAGATGTCTGTCTTAAAGAAGCTGCTGAAGCATCTTCCTTCTCATCTCAGACTGACACTCTTTATTTTAAGGCTGTAAATATGCACGATACAGGAATTGCATGCTGGGTTCCAGGTCTGTTTTACCATGTTGTATACAGTGGCTTGAACACACCCTTAATGCTTTTGGAAATACCTCTTATTGTGTGTTCCAGTACTGTTCTTTCCATGGATGTTGCACTGATGTGTTATAACCATGTTGTAATCGAACTTGACTGTTTCCCATCCTTTGTCATTTCCAGCTGATTATTCCCCTACTCACCGTGGAAATTCATTTACCTATCAATGTGTCAGCTTGCTCGTTGTTAAATTTTACTTCATTTCTATTAGTGCAGTTTTAAAGGTCAGTTAGTTATGTTCTTGGTTTATTTTGTTCCAGTTTCATCTACTGATATCTTCCACATTGTATGTATTAGTAAATTCTATAAGCAGTCTTCTTTTGTGCATTAATGTCATTAATTCACGCATCTCAAAAAGATAAATGCTTGTATGAGCCCTTGGAGGAACTGTATTGCTGCTGTCCTTCCAGCTTGTTCATCTTTTGCAAGTTGGTGGTGTCCTCTTTATCTGCCTTCTAATCATTGTATTAATCATGAATCTTGCATCTTAGCATCTCATGTGACACCGTATTGAATGCTTTAGAAAAATCCAGATTAGGTCTGCAGATTTCCCTTTGCCTTAGGCAGTTATCTCAAACAGACATTGCGCTATACGGGTATGATCCACCTCCAGTAAACTCATACTGTCTTTTATCCCAGTTTCTGTTTTGGTCCTTGTTCTTTCCTCATAATTTTGTACCATCAAAATGGCTGGTTTAAGTGCATTTAGTTGTCGAGATTTGTCTGTTTTCCCTTGATAGAGTAGTGTCAGTTTTCATACTGTTTGCTGCCAAACTAACAATATAAATGTTTGAAGTTTGAAGATTAGTGCTTGATTTTAATGTCTATACAACGTTTTAAACCATATTAATAGTAAAGTCTTTAATGCATGTAATAAACACCTGTGCCTCGGTAAGTAAATTATGGTTTGAATTAAAAACTGTACCTGGGAACAGATAGGCTTTGTGATCAATATGCATCTCTGCTTTTAACGGTACATAGGTCTATTATTCTTTCTCTCAGTGGTTAGCTTACATGCTAATAATGTTGAGTGGGTGCAAAAGTGGGGGTTTTTACCACATGTTTGTTATACAAGTTTATGAATGCAGGTGCAAGACAAGTTGGAGTTTAATTTAGAATTTTTCAATGGTGTTTCTTGCTCATATTCTCTTAATGCCAAATGTTGCAGTTTTAAGAAAAGCATATGCATACAACTTTTAGAAATTCTCAGTAGTCACCAACTCCGCTGTTTTACTTCGTTCAAGTGTTGGATACTGAATGTGAAGTTGGATTGAAAGTGTTAATCAATTTTGCAATGTACTAGATTGAGCTATATCGTAATATATATAAATACATTTGTATTTTATTTACTTCATAAATTTTTTCTAATCTTTGACTGACATCTTCCTACGTTGTCCGAAGGTGTACTCTTCAAACTTAAATAATTAAATGGTATCATGAAAGTTTCCTACTTAAACCTTTTAAGAAAAGAAAATGTAATCACTACTTCAAGTTCAAGCACAATCATTTTTCATTAATTCAAGAATACTGAACATCATTTCATTGTGTGTGCCATGCACTCTGTCAGCTGATGCACTGGGAACTGCTAAGTCCACTCTGAAGAAACTTCTTTTCTGCTTTTCAGTCTCTTCCTTCTTTACTGCCTCCTTTTATTTTCTAGGTTGGTTCAGATGTGTCTTCTTATGGGGCGGGGGGGGGAAGGTCTGATAGAGAGCAAGAGATTCGGAATAAAAAGCAAGCTGTGCTTTATATCAGATCTCTCTTATTTTGAAGATTTTTTTAGTCAGCAGAAGACTCCATGTTTACAAGTTCAATAATCTCTCAACAAGATGTAATTTTTTTCTCTATTGATAGACAGTGATCAGTTAAGAGCTTTAACTTGAAAAACTTGGGGGAGCGGGGAAGCAAAAAGGCACAGGAGGACAAGGAAACAAAGCAAACCTTTTCTTTCTACTTGAGTTACAGTGCTGAGAGAGAAGAGAGAGAGTCCCTTGGGTAATCATGTCCTCACTGTGTGACTTTAATAAATTTGTACAGAAAATTTTCTTAGGAAAGATTAGGAGTTTTTCCCTAGTCTGTAAAGAAAATGGGAAGCTCTGGAATAGCCAGAGCTTAATTCTGTGTTTCACTGTTAATGTGTAAAGCCTTGCATGTAAACATAGGAGGCAAATGTTGTAATTCTGTATATATATAATTCAATGACTATAAGCTCATAGTATTGGATTCTTTTTGAGGCATTTTGTATAAATCATATAGTCAGTAATACTAATCTTTCTGTGATTAAATCATAACTTGAAGTGGCTGCAAAGAAGTAAACATTCATTTACTGATATAGCGTTTTTCAAGCTGACTGCTGGATAGGTGCTTATTTGTAGGCCTGAAGAAAATGCTACTTTCACAAAATTGGCAAGATCTGTGCGTGCTAAGTCAACTGTGAACTGTATTTTGCATTCGATGCTTACAGTGTTTTATGGACTTCTAACCAATACGTGTGCTATGCAGTTATACTTGGTGCTAGAGTATCTGTGCTAACAAAAGTACATTGGAAAAGACTAATTTAATTTTGATGACTTCCTATTTATTGGAAAGATCAGTATCCACTAGGATCTGGTTAGAGTAGATGGTCTTTTTTTAAGGAAAACAGAACCAAAACCCATACTTCTCTATTTCTATTTATGTTCATATGGTAATATACCAAATATTCCCAATTTTTGGTAGTTTTCCATGAAGAAAAAATCAAAAAGTCTGAGTTTGGACGATGAGACTTCCACTTTGTATCTTTAAAATTGGTTGCTGTAGAATACACTTTTTACTAATGCCATTTCAACGTTTTATGCGCAAGAATAGGTAATGTTCAGATAGCAGGCTTGCTTTCAAACTATTATTTGTCTATAGTTTTACTCATAGTAGAAGGGAATTAATACCATCAGATATGAACAAAGATGATAGAATATAAATTGGCTAATGCCAATTTTAGAATGTGTGTGTCAGTGAAATAGTCATAACCAATCTTAATAAAAATTAACCAGCTATATAGTTGTGCTGTTTATCTTGGATAAGTGAATTCTGGTTAAGTTGTGAGGTTTTGTGAATGATAATTTTTCTTGTTTGTTCTTAACAGGAGCTCACCAGATGTTGTTGTTGGCAGTGTTTATAACACCTCTTAATGATATCTACTCTGACTTCTCAAAGTTTCTGGAGATGATAGAAACAACATTGGACATGGATAAGGTATGGGCTGGTGTGTGGGAGGGGGTTTACTTAGTAATTAAAGTTTCTTACTGAACTTTGCAATCTGCTCTACACTCGCTAAATTTAATTGATCATCTATATTAAGTAGTTAGTGATCGTTTAGTTGCGGAATATATGAAGACTGTTATTAGCATAGCAGTTGAATATCAAGAGTATATTCATCCACTGTCTGAAATTATATAGGCAATGAAAAAATGCTTTGGGTACATGGATGCTGTGGACCTGAAACTATTTTTTAAAAACCTCATCAGTATTAAAAGTAGGGAAGTTATTTGTCACTTTTTTGCTTCTTCATATCTTCAAAGTTGCTGTGATGTGTCTCAAATCTAGAATGGAGCCAGAATATGTTTATTACATATTTCTTTGCTTCTATAAAGTTCATTAGACTTGCTTTTATTTGGGGGATTAAGTCTTCATAACTAACAGTTTGCCTGTCTGAAAAATGATTGACCTAGGAATAAAGGCTGACTTTACTTCCCAGTGTAAAGACATTTCTCACTAGAAAGAAAGCTACTGTTATTATCTTAGTGTTGCATCTGCATTTGCTTATAAAATATTACTGATGATAGGATCATGCTTGCAAGGGAAAACTGACATTTTTTTCAGAGGAAAAATTAGAATCATAGAATCATAGAATGGTTTAGGTTGGAAAGGACCTTGAAGATCATCGAGTTCCAACCCCCCTGCCATGGGCAGGGACACCTCCCACTGGACCAGGTTGCCCAAAGTCACATCCAGCCTGGCCTGGAACACCTCCAGGGATGGGGCCTCAACAACCTCTCTGGGCAACCTGTTTCAGTGCCTTACCACCCTTAAAGTGAAAAACTTCTTCCTAATGTTTAATCTAAACCTGCCCTCTTCCAGTTT